CCATGATCTGCAAGACAGGCTCGGAGAAGTTGTCGATAATCGGCGGCTGGTAGCCTCAAGCCGTTGGTTCGAGGTGCATCCTATGTGGGCTTGTAATTTCTTATGGTAATATTCGCGGGCTTCTCCATAAGGAAAAGTTCTTGATCTTGCTATGAAGCTCTCCTTGTTTCCTGAAACTAACAGACCTCATAGCTGCCCTGAGCCCTACAAACCGAAACCGCTTCAGAGATGTAAGATATATTCCTTAATCAAGGGATATTGGAAGAAATCTCTGGGAACATCTATGCTTTCTGCCTCGGAAGCGCGCGGACCCGGCGGCTCTGGAAGGGCTTTAGGGTTTGAGTTCAAGGCTTAGGGTTCAGGGGTTTAGGGTTTCCCTACATCGCCGGCTACCTAAATAGAGGGTTAAAGTAAAAGCCAGAAAGTTAGAATATGATTATCCTAAACCCTTTATGGTATATTACCAGGTATCCTACCCTGAAACCATATTCCAACTTTCTGGAGTTCCCTTTACTGCCCTGAAACTGAAAAATCCAAAGGCCCTCCTCCCCAGAGCCTGGCCCCAGAACTCAAAGCCCTCAACCCTGCAGCTCTAAAGGTCTACCTGTAGCCGGTAAGACCTACCTTTTTAGGGTTCCTTATTATAGTTTCTATGTATAGTTCTTTCAAAAGGTACGTCTTTTCGGCTACAGGTATGGTTTGAGGGTGAAGAGCTTGTTGTCAGCCCTTTCCTGAACTTAAGTCTCGCCATAACCCCTTAATTAAGGAATATACCTTAAATTATAATAGGATCCCTAATATGATTGAAGGTATATTCCTTAATTAAGGGGTTTTGGAGGCTCTGGGTAAGTCTCGTCATAACCCAAGACCCTTCTATGATACCCAGTAACCTAAGAATAAAAAGGCCCCTCTTTTTGGTATTGGGTAACTTTATAAGGAACCTAGGACTACAAAAAGGGAATAAGGGTACTACTGGGCATCCTAGGCCTTCTATGATACGCGACTGGGACCTTTGGGACCCACAGGTCCCCCAATAACTAACCCAATTCCGGAGCCTGCCATGATTCTACTGTTGATATAAATCCTGCATTACCTTAAGGATATTCCTTATTATGGGTAATGCAGGATTTATACATCAACCCCTAAGCCCTAGACCCTAAACCTCCTATAGACATCCCTTTAAAGGAACCGCAGGATTTATATCATCAACCGTATGATCAGAGACTGCGACATTTGGGCTCAAAAGGTAGCCAAAATCATCCCCTAGCCCTTACGGCTACTTGGAGGGTCGGGGGACTTAGTAAATAGCTATTTTAGAGACTTATAAGTATCGTAACCCCTATTTAGGGTCCCTATTGGGGTACTTATGAGTCTACTTACTACCTACTTACCAAGTCCCCCGACCCTCCAAGTAGCCCTTACGGCTAAACATCGGAGGCAAGAGACTGCGCGAGTCCTTCGACCGAGACTGGGCTGTCTGAACCCTACTGCTTAAAGGGCCATGGGACTCAGTAACTAGGGCTATAATTAGGGTAGCTATACTTCTGTTTGCTTATAACCCCAATTAGGGTAATTATAACCCTACCTACTAAGTCCCATGATCCTCCAAGTAGACCGCTGATCCCCACCCTACACCCCTACACCCCTAAACCCGAATATCCCTACCCCTTAACCCTCAAACCCTCAACCCAACCCTTAAACCTTGATTTCCTAAACCCTAACATCCCGAAGCCCTACAGTAAAGCCCATAAAGTTGGAAACTGGAGTAAGGCCAAATAGTGCTGGGATTCCCTATACATTACTCTTAAGCATAGAGTCTCTGGGGTTTCCAACTTTTCGGCTTCTACTGTAAGCCCCTAAACACCGTAATCCCCGAACCCTGCTCCCCTACACCCTAAGTCTACAATCCCAGAACCCCAAACCCTAAACCTTAAACCCTAAACCCAACCCTAAACCCAAAACCATAGACCTTAAACCCTATACCCAAAACCCTTTTACTTTAAACCCTATACCCTAAACCCTAAACCCTGATGAACCCTTTGTTAAATCCCTATAAACCCACGTCTTGCTGACAAAGCTCGAATGCTCCAGGGCACTTCCACGAGCTGCGTCCTCAGCGCACAGCTGCTGCCAGGGTCGGGGAAATGACTTCCGTAAAGGTTTAGGGTTTAGGGTTTAGGGTTTTGGGTTTAGGGTTTAGGGTTTAGGGGTTTAGGGTTTAGGGTTTAGGGTCTCCTCAAAGGGATCTTTAAGGGGCCCCAAAAGGAGGGTCGCGGGACTGACTTCCTTGAAGGGTTCCTTAAAGGGCTCCTCAAAGGGATCAATAGGGGAGGCTACCCCCAAACGCGAAGATCGTCGTTATGGAGTCGACGAGTTCTCGGATGACATTAATTGCCAGCGAGGCTCTGATTCATAGGTCCGAGGACGTACATCACCAGTGGCGTGGCCCCTTTGGGAACCAGACGGCACCACATCTCCGTGGAGCTCACCCAACCAGAGTCCTTCGAAGCACACCCTTGGGGTCTAGGGCTTAGACCTGGAGGTTCATGGGACTTAAGAAGTATCGTTATAAGTAGCCTAATTGGGGACAAATGTGATAACAAGTATAGCTTCCTTGTTTATAACCCTAAGCATAGTTACTATGTCCCATGAACCTCCAAGTACGCTTCAGGGTTTAGGGTAAGAGTTTCTCGTATCATAGGGGCCTTTGCCTACAAGAACAGTCAACTCTACGCGCGAAGCCGAACTCTGAACCCCTGTTGAAGCCCTACCAGCCCCAACACCCACATCGAGGGGCTGGTACATAGAGATTGAGGCTTGCGGCTGAGGTAGTTAGATGTCATTCAGACCTCTTGTGTCAAGGCTGCGAAGAAAGGGCTGTAAGTATTGAATTCTAACTTCTATGGCTTTGCGAGGATGTGACTTGAAGCCCATGATGAGGCTAGGGTTCAGAGCTGGGCAAGTCGAGACCAAGGGTGTTTTCTTTCGGGCTTCGGATAGGCTGAAGGGTTCCAGAAGCTTCACCAGCAGGAAGAGCATAGCATCCAGGCAGCATGTCATCCGCTACTCAACCCTAAACCCCTAACCCTAAACCCCAACCCCTAAACCCTAAACCCTGAACCTTTAGGCTGTCCGGTCGACGGTTTGCCGGTGTCATATTTAGGGTCTGGAGCTCGAACCTTAATTTCTGGACAGCAAAGCCCGAAGTACAAAGCTCCGGTTATCAGAATCAGACTTAGAGCAGCAAAAAGCAACAACATACAATAATAATAACGATAAAAACCATATTAAGAATAATCATAATCACTCCAATCTCTCAGTTTTTTGAGCACAGTAGTTTAGAGTCTTTTTCATTTAATACTCTTCCACTCATGGCCCAGTGCCCTGATCGAGCATCGAAGGCTCCTGGCTCCTCACAGATGGGAGTATGGTTAAAGCCACACTTACCCCAAGGGTCCAAAGGACCCAATAATTAGGTACTCGGTTTTAGGATAGTATAGTTATGTTGATATGGGAGAGTATACGGGACCTCACTGCCATGATGACAGACGTGCCCTTGAGCGAGGACACTGAGTGATCGGTTCCGCCTCTAGGATGTAGTCCAGCTGGCTGTCGTCGCTTGTTTTCTGTTCACGTGAGACCTAGTGTGGTTCTCTTCACAAGGAAAAGCACGTGACAGTGTTGGAACTGGCTGCATGTGTTGATCGAATGCAGCACCAAGTTTTCGTAGAGCACCAGCCTGGCGCCGGCTGCAGTTTAGCGTGCGACGCTGCGTCGCTTTTTGTTTCGTGCAGCCAAAAAACAGGTGACCTTAAGTATAGTACCCTAAATAGTAGGATCCTTATTAAAGGGACCCCCAAATGAGGTACCCTAATTTTCGGAAACATGATTTTGGGGTCCCTATAATAAGGATCCTACTATTTAGGGTACTATATTAGGGTCCCCCATTTTCGGAAACTCCCATATGATTATAAGGTACTTGGACCCTTGGGGGTTGCTAAACGAGTACGCAGGTGTTCCGTCAGGTCGTCGTCGTTTCCCAATCCCACTCCAGAAGAAACATAGGTGGGCCCTACTAAGTCCTACACACTTACTCTGTAGAGTTTCTCAAATCTACGGGCTTATCTCAGAAAACCGTCCTCGCACAGCTCTGTCGTGTTGCCCCCCTGCGTCACCGAAAGTCGTAGCATACCTGCACAGCTTTCGAATAGATCCCTGAATAGGGGTTCCTATAAAGTAACCTTAGCAGTATAGGGCCCCAAATTAGGGCATCTCGAGCAAAACCGAGTAGAAACAAAAGAGTCTGAAACCCTGCTGGAGCTCATGCCCGCAGGACCTACTAGGGTTTAGGGTGTAGGTTTTTAGGGTTTAGGGGCTTAGGGTTTAGGCTCTAGGACTAATCCACTCATCTTATTAAACTCCGGGCAGAAAAATCCAAAGCCAGGATGCAAATCGCGAAGTTCTGAGCCTCAAACCCTAAAACGCTGCAGCTCTGAACCCCGGACCTGCGCTAAGCATGATAGCAACTAAACGTCGATCATAGTAATTAACCCTTTGAATAAGCCTGATCATCTGATAAAGCTCACGAACCCTGATACTGCCCGATAACATGCATGCATGCATGCATGGATGTATGTTTGTATGTATGCATGCATATACGTGCCCCATATACATACATACGTACATACATACACATTTATATATATGTACACACACACACACACACACATGCATACATGCATACATGCATACATACTTATTCAAGCCTCAGCCCTAAAACCCTAACAAACCCAAAAAAAAACACTCCAAAAACCCTCAAGCCCTAAACCCTAAAACCCCCCTAAAACCATGAACCCTAAACTCATCCCGCAGAGAGAGGCCTGGGCTAGCAAGATCCTCATGACCTCCGAAGCCGCCTCGGCTTGATGGGAGGGTGAGGCTTTAGCCCCAAGGGTCCAAAGGACCCAGGAATCAGGGTCCGTTTAAAGGGTTCTATAAGGTTCCTTTAAAAGGGTTTCTTACTATAAGGGTTCCATTATATGGCCCGTGATAATTACTGTAGCTACTCGGTTTTAGGATAGAAGTTATGTAGGTTACGATTTGGGAGAGTATATGATTATTAAGTACTTGGACCCTTGGCGTAGGGTTTCCTGTAACTGCTTCAGGGGCTTCCTTTGAATAGTTTAGATGTCTAGAGTTTAAACGGGGTTTAGGGCTTAGAGTTACAGGATTCCTGTAAAGGGGTCCGTGGGGCATTGTAGGCTGTAGGGCTTGGTGTTCAAGTTTAGTGTTTTGGCTTGATGACGACGGTTTGGGATTGAAAGTTTGGGATTCAAAGTACTGGGGTCAGGATTGAGGGTATAGGGCTCACGCAGCGTAGGCTTAGGTGATAACGTGGCCATAACCCTATGAGTTTAGGGCTCGTAGTGCTTCAGGGCTGGATGCCAGTGCAAGGGGTTTAGGTTTCGGGCTCCGGCCGTCACACAGTATGGGCAGTTTCCTGAATTAGGGCCCGTTTTCGGGTTCCTTCAAGGGCTCTGAAAGGGTTTCTATAAGGCTATAAGGGCAGTTCTCTGAATTAGGGTCCCACTTTAGGTCCAGGAAGTAGTACGGCACCTTGACAGAAAGGACCCTGAATGGGACCCTAATCTTAATTTAGCAAACTACCCCCCCATGTCAACGCGATGATAGGAGAATTAGGGTTTAGGGGTAAGGGTTGGGGTTTGGGTCTTGGGATTGTGGATTCATGGGGTCTAGGGTTTGGGCACTACAAAAAATCAAAAGTCAGCTTACACTGTCATGTAACGAAATAACGGACCTACGGCATAACATGGGCAGTCATTCAAGCACTGATAGCACTTGCGTCCTCTGTCTCACTACTCCGCACACAAAACTGAGGCTCCAACTAGTTTGTATACTTGGAGCCGTAAAAAGGGACAAGAAACCCTTCGCATAGAGCATCGTTTCGCCAACGGTGCTGACGAAGACCTGCGGTTGCCGGGCCATGAAGTCTGATGAACTACTATAGGGCCGTTAAGAAAGAATTAGAATAGAGTTCCTTTAGAGGGTTCCTTTGAAAGGGGTCTATAAGGGATCTATAGTAGGGTTCTATACTGTTGGGGCCTTAACAATTAGAATGGGGTGTTGGGGCTTACTATACTATAAGGAACCCCCCAAAATCAAATTTATTCTAGGGATCTAAGGACTCATATCTTAAGGCTTTTGGGCCCAAAGACCATAATATATAAGGCTTTTGGGCTAATTTGATCCCAGGGTTAGGCCTCTACAGTAGAAGCCCAAAAGTTGGAAATGCCATAGCCTCCATCCTTAAGAGTAATTATAAGTATAGGCAATCCCAGCACTATTTGGCCTTAATCCGGCTTCCGACTTTATTTGGTTTACTGTATAGTGTCCAAGCTCTAGCCGGCTCTGGCCCAAAATCCGAACTGCTGTAGTTGAATGGGGTGTGTGGGGATGTTCTGGTACAAGTAATGAAGAACGAGAAGAGGGTACAATTCGAAAAATTTTCAGGAATCTTTTAGACAGACTGAGACCGGAATAGAGCAGTGCTTTGGTACTCAGAAATCTTACCCACAACACATGGGTGTAGTAACTAGCACCCTGAAACAATGCCACCTTATATGGGTGTCTATGCTATGGTTATGTAGAGACGGCGGACAACTAGATGGGCAACTGGGGTCTTAGGGCACGATTTTGCATGAAGAGTATTCATGCTCCAGTCCTCGTCCAACAGGTAATTAGAACCAAGGCGTTTCACAGTGAGCCCAAAACCCGAAGGGTGGGATGAAGGTAGGTCGGGAGATCCCCAATTCAGGTCCCTTATATGAGGGATCCTCAGTCCCACCTACCTTCCATCCCACCTTAAACCGTAAACCCTAAATCAAAGGGGGAAAAGGAGGGACTCTTAATGGGACCCCTACCCTATAATGGGCTGTATGATGGGTATATAATAGCTATATTAAGGGTATATACCTAGAGGTCCTTATTAAGGGTCCCTCCTTTTCCCCTTGGACTAAACCTGTGGTCCGGTCCTGTTCTTGCTCCCGCTCGTTGGTGGTGCACTGGCCATAGCCAACAGCAGAAAGGCAAGTGACCTGGGTATCGGTTACCTGGACCCTAAGGAACCTGCCTTTTTAGGGTTCCCTAAGATGATTTCTTTATATAAGTCCTTAAAAATGTAGGTTACTTGGGGTTAAGGTAAGTATACGGGCATTACTTATTCATTAAGGCCGGCAATAAACTATGAGTGCACGAGGCCTCGACCTACCTGAAAGAAAAGGCAACTATAAACATTAGAACTTAAAACCCCTAAAACCTCATCCCTTCCTAACCCCAAGCCATATAAGCAAAAAACACACCAAGCTGACAACAACACACCATGTCAGATCGCCAGCTCGCGGGTGTAGTGAGCCCCGGCTTCCAAACTACGGTTGATGTATAAATCCTGCATGACCCATAGTAAAGAATATACTATTACATTCCCATAGTTTAGGATCCTATGATAATGCAGGATTTCTATCATCAACAGTACTGGGCTGTGGCATTGGGCTCAGGGAATTGGGTTCTGGAGGGATTTCCTAATCCGTGGCTTTGGGACATGCAGTCACACAGAGCCCGCCAAAAAAACTAAGACCTATCTTTGCATTGCAGACATCTAACCCCTGCAAAACCAAACTGTCTTTGACCACTAAAAACCGAGCACCCCCTACAAGTCTGATACCCTAAACCCAGAGCCCCCCCAACCCTAAACCCCAAACCCCAAACCCTAAACCCTAAACCCGAAACCCCAAGCCCGAACTCCGAAGTCCTAAGTCGAGTCGCAAAAGGGGGTGCAAAGGAGATCTGCACCGAGGCAACCCCGACCAGAGCTCCGGCGATTGACAGCTGAAGTGGCAAATCCTGCACGGAAGAGGATTAGGCTTTAGGGGTTTAGGGTTTAGGGTTTAGGCTTTAGGGATTAGGGTTTAGGAAGAGGATTAGGCTTTAGGGGTTTAGAGAACAGCCCCTATACGTTAGGGTGTTGTATAGGGTTGATCGAATTTGTAAACAGCTCTACGATACGGTTTCATGTAGGGTTTTCGGGACGTCTGGGGATTAATCTGGAGCTTTGGATGGGGTTGCAGGGCTTGTACGGGGTTTATGGTGTTCATCCTTGCAAGTCCAAGGTGCTTAATACGCACCCCAACCAAGAATCCAGTAAGTCAGAGGCCCAGGATATGATCTGGTTGTAATAGGGACAGCCATTGCAAGTAGGTTGTGAGTACCCGAACCTCCAACAAGGAGCTCAGATGCCTTTACATTGGGTGAGGGTTCCTTAAACTGTATGCGAGCTTTAAACTGCCCTTCACCCATTCACCAAAGCTACCCTAGAAAGTTGGTTGTAGCACCAAGCTAAGGCTTCAGAGTGTCAGAACCTGTCAGATGTAGTGCGAGGCATATCGTTCTTTTTTGGGGGTGCAAGGTTTTTTGGCGTTTAGGGCGTCAGCGTCGAGGGCTTTACGGGTCGTTGACGCTCAGCTCACTTCTAGCAGCAGCTTCAGAAATGCTTGGCGTTTTTTTGCGTGTTTTGCTTGGTTGGTAAGGACATCACTTCACCCTAGATTTTTAAGGCAAAGGGTTCAGGCTACCAACCTCGACTCGACAGCTCAACAAACAACAACATCAACGCTACAGCCAGCCAAGCGCCAGCACCGTCGTACCCATCGCCACAAACCCTACTCCAGAATCTCCCCTTTTTTGGGCTTAGGGTTCCCTTTAGAGTACTAGGGTTTCTATAAGGGTCTCCTTGCCAGCTCCAGACAAGATCGTCATCATTTGGTAGACCTGCTGGAGCGGCTCGGTCCTTGGTGTTGCTCTGGATCTGAACGTTTAAGCTTTCAGATTTTGGGGTTCGGGGATTTATAGGGTTTAGAATTTGAGGGTAGTCAAACTAGCAGTCAGAGCCGCAGTCGCAGTACTCGCAGTGGCAGTAGTCGCAGTGGCAGTCGTCGTCGCAGCAATAGTCGTAGTAGTCGTCGTTGAAGCAATAGTCGTAGTAGTAGTGGCAGCAGAATCAGCAACAGCAGCAGCAGCAGCAGCAGAAGCAGCAGCAGAAGCAGCAGCAGCAGCAGCAGCAGCAGCAGCAGCAGCAGCAGCAGCATGAGTAGTGGTACTGGTGATGGTGATGATAAGTCTGCTACTGCTACTACTAACGCACAAAAGACAACGCCCATCGCAAAGTCAAGCATCTCCAAATCCGGGCGGGGAGACGCGACCGTGACCTGGAGCAGGATGAAACAGACATCAGTGAAGTGTGTGTGTGTGTGTGTGTGTGTGTGTTTGCATGTCCTTTTGTGAGGAAGGGTTCGGGTTACCCTACAGAGCTTAGGATTTGGCAGAGAGTTCTCGTAGGTTCCGGCCGGATATGTGGAAGGGCCCCTAAACCCAGAACCACAAACCCGCGGCTACTGCGGGCTTGGTGCGATTATGACTTTGATTATGACTCGTACTAGTATTTGTAGTTTTGAAGCATGAACCGCAAACATGTCTTCCAGTCTTATCAACCGGTTGCATTGACAAAAAACTGACCTGAACAAGCAACGACAACGTTAAACCGAAAAGCCTAAATAGATATCACGAACCAAAGGTCTCCACGTTGCGACTGTGTGAGCATTCCACTCAAGATTTCTATCTTCGATAATGTCACAAGTCCCCCTGGTCCCCATAGTCCTTGTTGGGGTCTATTTGCAGAGGGCACTTGATCCTCTCGCGCAGCAGCATCATACACCCCCTCGATCCGAAATCGTAGGCCCAAACAACTTAGCCCTAAAATCACCCACCCACTCTCTCACGCACCTACCCACCCACGGAAGGAGGGTTCGAGCCTTTCTAGCGACTAAAGGTAGACTAAACATATACCACCAAAGCCATGCTTGACGGGACCCAGGGCTGCTAAGACAGAAGGAGGTACGTCCACAGACCCTGAATCCTACAGGTCGAAGCTGTAGATCAACTGTAGACCCAATAATGAGGTAGGTCCTTCACCCTAAATTCCCGAGTCCTCAACGGCTACATTGAAAGATAGGCCGTAAACATAAGGGGGTAGGTCCTACGCCCTGAATCCCTGAATCCTAAACGGCTAAATTGTAGATAATTAAACCCTAAAAGCCTGCTGGAATGGTCCCACGAACAGCGACAGCTGATTCCACAGCTGTGCCTCGGACGACTCTTGGCTCTTGGGAGTTATAGGATTCAGTTTCCAGGTTTCTTTATAGCCCGAGTATAATAAATAAACATTTTGGGGGGTCTAGGATGGTCTAGGACGGTTTCAAGTTTCAGGCTCAACATTTCGGGCTTCGTAGTTGGCTAGGCATGCAACTAGGAACCCGAAAGCTCGGCTTTGTCAAGTTATAAGACCTGTGCCCATATCAGTATACGCTGATGCCCTAAAAGGGTGCCGAACCAGGGGACCCTTTCCTCGGTTTCCCCCCTTTTAATCCATGTGGGCCCGGGGTCTCGGCAAGTGACCTGTTGTTTGTTTGGCATTACACATGCATTACACTAACATCGCCCATTCCGGCCGAGAGGTCTTGCGGCAAACCCTAACTTGAAGACACCGAAACCCTCAACTGGAAACATCTTGCATGCTAGCCGCCGGCAAAGCGTCGCTCTTGTAGGTGACCACAACCTTTCCGAGCGTCCGACCGACTCAAGGAAGAATGGGCTGTAAAATGATCAGATACCACTACTACTAGTGGTGGAAAGCGGCTGATGTAAACTGTACCAGCAATCATGCACGCGCGTACAAGCAACCCAGCCCAAAGAATCGTCAGAGGCGAAGGCCCTTGCGCACCTCCATTTTGAGGCCATCCTCGACGGCATCCAAACCGACCTACACGTCACAGGCTGCAGGCTCAAACACTAAATTACTGGGTTCTTGTTAGGGATTTAATCTAAGTTACCATAACAGGGATCCATAGTAATTAAATAGATAATATGAGGACCCAGTAAACTTTCCGTGTTATGGCAAATTCAAACTAAGTCGCTGAACAAGAACCAAGAAATCACTGATGTAGGCTTCAGGGCCTGACTGCCGCGCTAAAGATACCCCTAAATTCTGAAGCGCTCCAGCCTCTAGTCTCGACTCAGGGAGGAAACCACAAACTGTCAAACAGACTGCAGCATCACCCAGTCTTAGAAGCATCCGACCACCGCCCCCCGAAGCATGTAATCCCTCCAATCCCAAACCCCACACATTTTTTAACCCTAAACCCTAATGCCTGAACCCGAAAACCCTAAGCCCTTAAATTCCAAACTTTGAAAGCCTCCGTCCCGTCCGTCCCCTTAGTCCCCGAACACCCTGAGCCTTGAGCCCGATGCACCTTTGAAAAAGCGTACATAGGGTTCAGGGTTTACGTTTAGGGCTTCGAATTTGGTTAAGGGTTTAGGGTGTAAGACTTAATAAGAGTTTAAGGAAAATTTAAGCATAAACCCCCAATGCAACATGCTGACACGAGCTCCGCCTCAAAACACGAGCCTCGAATCCTACATTCTCAACCCTTATAAACCCCCTGAGCATTCGCAGGAACTAACAGTTTTTGCGATCAGAGTAGTGTAGATCAGTGCTGAGGGCGGTATTTCTACAGAACCTAATACCCTACGAAACGCATGAAACCCTTGTACTCGGACCCTAAACCCTAAACCCTTACTTGTAATTGAACGCTGAGCCCTCAGCCCTCATGGGCCTCATCTTCGTTGGCCTTCGTCACCCGAGGTGTCGCCATCTCGAACCGAAGGCGGAGACCCATGGCCTATACTCGCGGCTTTTGAATTCGCTTAGGCTTTAGGGTTTAGTGGGTTTGTCTAGGGTAGGAAGTCCTAGGCTCCGTGTACCTTTGTAGTATGTACGTAGGCCTTAAAGAGGTTGCTATATGGGTACTTGAAGGCCTCAGTATATACAATGTAGGTGCATAGAGCTTTAAGGTCCAAAGGCTTTGTATGTGCACAGGGTCTTGTAGGACTGATTCACAACAAAGCTTTTCTAGTCGGATGCAGCTTTGCTGGCACAAGACTCCCTAAGTGTCCATGTGCCCATATAGTATATGCTGGCCCTAGCGTAGTCCCTATCTATCTACCTATGTAAATGTATTTCTGGAGTGTGCGTCGGCGTGAGGGCCCGCTTTTCTCGAATACATATACGTTTTTGAGCTGATTTTAAGGATCTTACTAGCTACAGCGTGCGCTTCTTGTATGTTGTCAATTTGCAATTATGATATTTAGTGTGTATATATATATATATATATGTATCATATAGGCAGCAGATGCATGTAACAAAAAGCTGGCTGCTCCGCATCTGGACACTGAGGCTCGTACCTGTCAGGGCATTTGCTAGAAACATAAACCTGTAGATAAACTAGTACAGTTCACATTTAGCTGAGTTAGTTGTACAACTGTCACTTTTGTTTTGGTTTAGACTTAATCAACTAATCGTTACGAGTCTCACTGAAGCTACGCAGACCAGGTGACGAACATGTGACACGACAAGAATTGAATCAGTGCATACTAACTCCTGACACGTGTTGACAGGGAGGTACGATACGTACAATCATACATCCGGATGATACTCACTTCGACTTTTTCAGGTACTTCTTGATGACCTTGGATGTGGAAGCGGCAGGCTTGCGGTAGACAGAGGATGACGAGGAGGAAGATGCCGGTTTGCGTAGAACTGATGAGGATGCCGTTGCCGGTCGACGACAAACGTACTTGTCAGCCGCTGGCTTCTTCCATGCTCCAACAGATCTGGCTTCACGACGATATGCGCTGAACTTGCTCAGGTGCAGCAAGTACTTGTCTCGGATCAGATTATTGTGGCGCTCCACGTAGAGAAGCACTGGGCATCACGAGCCTTTGTTTTGAGGATGGCCGCGTAACCTCGGAACCAAGCAAACGTCTGTTCGGCGATCGACGTGTTCACGCCCTTCAGTCCCTTGTCCAAGCGCTTGACGTTCAATGGAGAGCATTCGCATAAATCCGAATGCCCTCGAGCATGAAAGCGATCCACGCACCAAGAAGTGATTTGCTTGAACTCCTTGTGCTTCTTGATTGTCGTCATACAACGGCAAATGCGATCATAAATGACGCAGTCTACGTTGGGAGTCTGGTCGTTTGGAGCACGTTGATCATGACCTTATTGTCCCCTGTTCTCCCTTGTTCCCTGCTGTCCGACTCACAAGAGATGCAGTTGTTTTTCCCGAGCTAGAGGCACTCTTTCTCGCGTGAACCGAGCCACTACAAGTTCAAAAATTTAGATCATGCCGCCATTGCATGCACTCAGTTCTGCTTCTGCCTCTGCGTCGAAGGCATCCTTTACATCAATCAACCATTGGGTAACGTCGCTGATTCTGCCACCAGCGATTATCTTTGGACGAGACCACCGTTTCGTCTGCCAACGTGTATTCCCATACCATCGCGCGTTCTGTTTCTCCGTTTTTGCCTCCTTCTTCTTCTGCTCTTTCTTTTCTTCTCGCTTCCTTTTCTTCTGCATCTCCAATCGCGACTGAACTTTCGCAAGCGCAACCTCCAGTTCGAGTCGGCGGTTCTTTTGGGCATCCTCGAGAGTCATCGTCTTGGTCTTCTTCTTGTTCGTCGTCGATCTCTTGCCTCTAAGCTCATCTTGACTCGTCGGTACATCTTTGCTCTTCTTGAAAGAACATATACACGGGTCGGTGCCCCAATTTATGACAACTCTTGCAGCGCGTGCGAGCCATTGGATTAAGGAGTCATAGACTGGGAATGGAATTTGGAGGTGCTGAGTTGACGGCTGCATCATTGAATTTAAAATTGCATGGTGTCGGAGCTTGTGCAAGTGCAGTTACACAAACAGCTAACGAAATCAATGCATTCCAACGCACAGTCGAGGATAAGGCCCGTACCTGCAGCGAGGACTGTATCATCCATTTAGTAGGATAGAGAATTAGTGTCGAAGTGCATCTTGAAAGGTATAGGTGTATATCCTGCAGACTAGCTTCAGGCTTAAACTGCATTCTATTGCAGCATAAAGGCGCATGGCTTACCTGACACGTGGTGTAATAGCAAATACAAGTTCATGCTATTTAGGTGACGACATGGTCTCAATACAGGAGAGGGAGCCGGAGCGGCGAGGCAAAAAAACACAAAACAACTATTATTATCATTTTTGTTGGCCCCACTCCTCCTTCTCCTTGTAATAGTATAATAATTGAACTCATGTCTAGGTTAGTCCTATTTGTTTGTGTTCCAAATACAACAAGAATGATTCTATACAGGACTGCATGCGCTTTGTTAGAAGCCCATAAATACGTTTTACACGAACCCCACAAAATGGAGCCCTGAGGGTGACGCTTTCTGTATATGTATACATATGTATATGTAGGGACTAAGTGCCCGGGATGTAAAACTTTGCAAAGTCAGAGGCCAGTCTTTGATGGTGTCAGCCAGGTGTCAGCCTGGGAACCCGCATCAGCAAGACACCTCAGGTACTCCTTGGTCACGCCGTGCTCCCACCGACACGAAGGAGCATTTGGGTCGTTGACCTGCATGTTCTTCTATCCACATTGTGAACTCGCCGTTGGCGTTGTCTTCGGGACCCTGGTCCTTGATGAGCTAGAAGCGTGGCCTAAAATCATCCGTTTCCTTCAGGGGGTTGTTTGAGGCTCCAGCAGGAACCAGCTTCTAATAACGAACCTGGAACCCGCCCACACTTTCCAGCATATGTCGGAAACCACGACCCCCTTCTCTGTAGCGACCCGGATAATCGACCTCCAAGGCCTGCCGCGAGCAGATATATACTCAGTATGGTGGAATGGAGCACTCTGGCGCCTTCCGCAAACTTCTTACGCTTGATGATGTGGCGCTTGTCACCAGCAGCAGGGACGATGACCAACTGCATGTTATATGCCACTTCCATGCCCTTGTTACGGATGGGCTCAGGGAGGTCGGCAAGGTGCTGTTGCAAGAACAGTTGCTCGAGTTTGAAATCAATCGGCCCCTCGTGCCCCAAGATGACGTCCAGGAAATGCGCCTTGCTTTTGACGACATCTGAGATGTTGCTGACTGCCGGGAGATCACCAGCAGACACACAGCCCGGCTCTTTGTGAACAAACATGGGTTGTCTAAGGTAAGAACTTTGAGGCCGTCCGTGTTCGCCAAGGCCTCCTCGGAGGTAAGGCTGCCGTCGAGGTTGCCCTCCTGCTCCTTCTGGGCAAGGTTCATACGGCGTGACGGAATGGAGCTGGCCACGGCGCCAGACGAAGAGACGGCTGAAGATTGCAGCCACAATCCGTGCCCGAGGCGCAGGCTGCACCTTGACTTTCTCCTCAAAGGTTTATGAGATGATGTCGGCATCGCTTGTGGCAACATGACGGGATGAGATACCGTTCCATGCTCCATACTGGGTGGCAGGATGTTTTGCTCGATGCTCCATGCTAGATGCGGGGATTTTGCTTCTGATGTTCCGTACTAGATGCGAGGAATTTGTGATTGATGCTCCATACGAAATGCAAAAAGTTTTCTTGGGGCTGCGTGCTAGATGCCAAAATGTTGTTTGATGCTCCGTACTAGATGTGAAGGCTTTTGTTTGATGCTCCACACTAGATGAGAAGTTTTCTTGAGGCTCCATACTAGATGTGAGGGATTTTGTTTGATGCTCCATACTAGATGCGAGGGTTTGTGGTTGATGCCCCATAGTATATGCGAGGATATTTCGTCAGTTCTCGATGGCAGAAGAAGATGTTACACATACCAGTATATGCTTATGAGCACGAAATCAACTACGAGACGAAGCGAGTGCGACAGCGTGTGTGTAAGCTTAGCAAGCCAAACACAAAGCTGCATGCACTTCCACATGTGTTTAGTGCTTCCAGCAAGCTCTGTGAGAATCGGCCCCAACCCCAACGGAAGAGGGCGAGCATGTCTTCCTCGCTCAGACCACCACGGGATACTTTGCAGACCAATTTGCGGTACTGCATGAGCACAATCGTGTAAGCCTGAATAAACGGAAAAAAGTAAACAGCCAAGTGCCGATTGGAAGTACACCGATGTGTGCTTCCCAGTCCACCGGTGCACACGGCATGGGGCCTAGAGGAGGCGGAGGTTCTTGGCAGGATTTATGATCCGAAATCAGCAGAACCTGCGTTCTGCTCCGTAGGGACAACGAAAAAGGGCTTTATGTGATAGCATAGCATCTCTTCGCGAACACGATACTCGATTAAAGCATGTCTGGCGGAAACACATGTGCCAAATACAACTTCCACATGGCGTCGTAGAAGACCATGTTTCTCTGTTTCTCTAGTTCCGCTCTCACTCTCGGACTGAGCCATGCTGAGCCGCATGATAGGGTACTTTAGGGTTGAGGTTTAAGGCTTGCGTTAAGTGGGGTGGTAGGGGGAAGTCTGCCGTGCCGGCACCCGAACAAACAGGGCGGTACCTGGGCAGGACAGGCGCGGATCTTGGGGGGTGGGAAATTATATGTATATATATATATATATATAGAGGATATAGGCATAGATACAGGTACCAGTTTAGAGCCTATGGGTATTTAAAGGCCAAAGTACGTACTATATGGGCACATGGACCCTCTGGCAGACTTAGAAGCGAGGCCAGAGGCCCTTTCCTCGGAGGGAGTCATCATCACAGTTCTGGGCACGTTATAGGCAAAGACCCATCCCGTACCTGTAGTCTCCGTTCTAGTTCCCTTTCTTGGCCTAACCATAATTATATTGAGGATCCTACAAGGTAACCCAGAAAAAAGGAACTGCAATGGGGGGCTACGGGTAAGTTCCCCTGCTTTCCAAGCCGGGAGCCTGCTTCAAGTTCACTACTTGGAGGTTCATGGGAGTTTGTAAGTAAGGTAATAAGTACCTTTATGTTGTGGGTAACTATGAGTATAAGAATACTTACCTTGAACATTACCCTATAGTTACTATGTCCCAGGCCCCTTTGAGTATCCTCCTTGCTCTCGGCCCTGGGCTGCCGCGGCTTTCGACACCAAAGGACCAAGAACCCTGATCCGATACAGTCAGTCAAGAACCCCTCCCTTCCAAAAGAAAACTCCACTTCTTTACTTGGAGGGTCGGAGGACTTAGTAAGTAGTTATTTTAGAGGCTTATAAGTACCATAACCCCAATTAGGGTCCCTCTTAAGGCACCTATAAGTCTACTTCTAACCTACTTACTAAGTCCCCCGACCCTCCAAGTAGGGTTCAGGGACTGAGGGTCGGCTCGGTCGGATTCATGTACGTATATACTTTAGGCATTCACACGTTTCCGAGTTCTTACGCCCCAGTCTGTATTTCCGAAAACCCAACCGCAAATAGCAGGAGCCTGGACAGAATAGGTCCGAAACTCGCACTGACAGCCAGCAGCCACGCTGACGGTCAAGTCCATGGTGGTTAACACCTTCAAGGATTTCAAACCCAAAACTTCCCTAAACCTCCCCTAGGCCTTAACACCTTCACGGATTTCAAACCCTAGACTTCCCTAAACTCGGGGGACTTTTCTGGTAACTGCATTTCGGGTATTCCCTTTCTGGGTTTCTTCCATACCGCTCCCATAGCTCTCCCATACTGCTTCTATAGGACTATGCTTTACCTATCCTTATGGGAGTGATATGGGAGATATTTGGAAGCCGTTGGCAGAACTCCGTTCTACGATGGTAGGTCGCCTATGGAAGTTGATGGGCCTGCGAGGGTTCTCGTTCCGGACTCGCATGTAAGACGATGGGCTTGTTGCAGGGCTCGTATGTAAGATGAGAAGCTGGCTTCACATAGCTCTCTGATAGCTCTCCCATGGCTCTCCCATGGCTCTCCCATGGCTCTCCCATGGCTCTCCCATAGCTCTCCCATAGCTCTCCCATGGCTCTCCGATGGCTCTCCCATAAGAAAAAGTATCAAACGCATGACGAGATAATGGACGCTCAGCCACGGAAGAGCTAATTGCCCGAATCCCCCATAAGAACCAGCCCACCTCCCATAAAGGGAGTACCTGATTTGGAGGTTCCAGAAAGATGCTTCGATAAACCCTGAACCCCTAAACCCCAAATCCTAAACCCTAAATCCTAAACCCTGAACCCGGTGAGGATGAACTGCGGTATCTACAGGCTTAATGTAGGGGCCTTCATATTTAGAGTAGGGCTTTGGTGCCCATCATACTATAATTTCATATGGAAATCCCAAAATAGTTCTAAAATCCGACGCGTAATGCAGGAATCTGATCAAGAAACTTTGGGTCGGCATTAGGGTTCCTTATATGGATCCTATATATGGGGTTGTAGGGCCGGGTTCCACATTAGTTAAGTGTATACAGTTCAGAATTTAGGGGCCAAGCTGTTGGCTTGCAGCGCGTCCAGGGTTCAAGGTGTGTCCTGAACCCTGCTGAAATAACCTAGCGGCCTCCGCAAGCAGAAGTGCGTTTCGGGTATCACTTAGTCCTTTTGTATACCTGAAACGATAGAGTCCTTAAGACTTGACCCTCAAGGTTCACCGGCAGCTGCCTCAACTGCACATGCCCTCGCATGCGGAATGACAGGCTGCTTCAAAGGTTTACTAAACCCCCAAAGTCAGTAAAATGCTGGCACAACACCTGTAAACGGCGATTCTTTCTAGTTGTGATAAGGAACCCTGAGGAATAGTATTGGTAATTACTTCGGCTTCTATATTACTTATATCTAACAGACTTAACAGACCCTGGCCGAGCAAAACGGTGCTTTGGCTTGTACATGCTTGGTTCAGGGTTTAAGGCTCAGGGGTTCAGGGGTTTAGGGTTTGGGCTCAAGGACCCCAAAAGCGCCACTGAACCTCGTGTTCAGGATTTAAGGATTAAGGGGCGTGCCCCTTGAAAACATCATGTACGGTGTGCAGCATCGAAACACCACCCTAAACCCTAAACCCTAAACCCTAAAACCCTAAACCCTAAACCCTAAACCCTCAAATACCAAAGACAGAACTTCGGGCGGGGCACTCTCCATTCAGACCCTTTGCAAGAGCTCTTCTCTGACCCTCGCTCGCTCGCTCAACCCCTTTGCTGCTAGGCCCGAAAAGCACCGAAGCCCAAAACAGAACCATCAAGCCCATATAGGTACCCTTTGGACGTTATGGTACAATTGAAGCCTGAAACAAACCCACAGAACCGTTTCGGCATCAAGCTGCTACTTGGAGGGTCGGGGGACGTGGTGCTTGCAAGTATCATGACTCCAATTAGGACCCCGTTTAGGGTACTTACGAGTCTAACTTAATTCCTACTTACTCCAAGTAAGCCTCCTCAGCTGGCAAGTTCAGCACCGCCAGTGCCACACTTTGGTCGTTTTGAGAGGTGCCGTCGTCCCAGGTGATGCTCGCGGAGGCCTAGCTTTAGGACTTTGGATTTAGGGCTTAAGGTTTAGAGTTTAGGGTTTAAGGCTTTGGGTTAGCGGTTTTAAGGTACAGTGCTTTCTGAAGCTCATGGCTTGCTGGATCTCGGGTCTGCGGATTTTATGAGTACAGTAGAAGCCGGAAAGTTGGAATATCATTATCATAATCTTTTAAAGGTAAATTATAGGGGATACCGCTTCCAACTTTCTGGAGTTGCCTGTATGAGGATTAGCTTCGAGAATAGGGGTTGGAATGAGCCTGCGTGCCAAACGCGCACGTGTCTCTTCGACTCAAAGGTAACTTTGGCGAGAAGGCTGCGTGGAAATGCTGCTGCTAAGCGCCCGTAGAACTGTATCGAACATGTTTGCTTGATCATCTTCTGTGTTAAAGCTTCTTATACACAAGTGCACTAAAGCCTGAGTGCTAGGACTGCCTGGAGCTTTGTGCGACAAAGTCAACAAACCCAAAACCCTGAGCCGTCGAAACCACACCTATCCCGATGGCTGCCCTGAGGCCCTCTAGGCTTGCACGACGGAGAACCGGATGAGCAGGTTTCGGTCGTGCTGATGTTTCTGGGTTTTGGGGGCCCATCATACCATAACTATGATAAGGAACCCCCAAAATAGTATTGCATGGTGATTATTTAGGCCCCGATTCTAAACCCTCTAAACTCCAGATGCCAATCTCTGCGGGATCAGGAAAAGATTTGCTGCCGACTACCTGGATGCTCAATATCCTCAATGAATTCATCATCAAACCATACACTGTCACGGGGGCTTTCTGGCTTCTACTATATAGTGAACGACAGATATACCTAGACCCCCAGGCACCCTCTATTAACCCCAAATACCAACTATTAAGGACCATACCCCAAGGGTCCAAAGGAGCCAATCGTTAGGTATTTGGATGTAGGATAGTATTTATGTAGGTTACTATTTTGGAGAGTCTCTGAGAAGTAAGTGCCTGGACCCTTAGGGGTTTAAGGGCTGTATTAGAAAGGTAACTCCAAGTACCCACTATTAAGGACCATAAAGGCTTCATAAAAAGGTATTCCCACCATTAAGGACCATAAGGGCTTCTTTAAAGGGTGCTTGCGGGCCAAGTCGCATATTTGCTCCGAGGCGTTGCCTCAAGCCGCAACTGCCAGGAAGCCTGCGCTGTTCTAGCGGTTTAGGGTTTAGGGTCTGGGTTTAGGGTTTAGGTGCTGCTTTTGGGCTAGCGATAAATATGGCATAGGGGCCTTAATGAGCTGAGAAGGCTGCAATCTTCTACAAGAAGTGAAAGGTTTCAAACACATTCAGGGTTTTGAGGCTAAGTGGGCTTAAGATAGGGCACCTCAGAATCACACTTGGATTGATTATGGGTTTGAACCTCTGGCTTTTTGCACATGCATTTCGAGTTTTTACCAGTAGACAGGCCTTACTAACTAGCGCTGTTGGGGTATAGCTTAGTATTGGGGAACATACATTGGGCATAGTAGCCCGCAGATCTTGAGCAATTTGCAATGTTTCGAAAGGTTTACAGTGAACCTGAAAGCCTAGGTTGATAATGATTAGTTCTGAGATCCTCTATATACTTTGCTTCATGGGCATGCGATATGAAGATTCTGAAAATATCTGAAGATCATGTTTCCGGCTGAAACAGCACAACCGCCTTCGTGGAAGAGCTTGCTGATTGGAAGATCAACTAGGCCACGAAAGGCGTATTTGGATTCGGGAGGCATTGAGATGGGACGTTGCTCTCAAGGAAAAGTGAAATGCGTCCTCTCAGGATGCTATGACCCAGATGTAGCCCTCATAAATAGTAACCTTTGTAGTAACTGACCATCAACAGCATAGCCCTTAATTATTCGGAACTCTACTGCAAAGGCTAACTTCAACAAGCATCTTCAATGTCACTTGGGAACACCACACCGAACCCTGAATCAAAATCTGGACCTTTTTCCCTGAATCACTGAAGCGGCATTCCAAACGCAACACATGCCGCAAGCATCCCGAAACATATGCCGCAAACATCCCGCAATCTCGTCCTCCTCGTCACTGCAGTTGAGGGCAAAGTCCGCATTCGGCAGGGCCACAGTGTAGTTGGTTCCTTCTGATAGGTTGTTGTTGCATACACAAGAACCATATCCAATCCTTATAACATCCCTAAGAATCCATGTACCCATATAGAATATACTTTGGGCCCAATGTGCCCATATAGGGAGTACTGAGTACTTTAAGGCCAGTGAATATACTATATGAGCACATGGACCCTTAGGGACATCTTCCTAAAATGCCAATGTCTTACCCCTAAGCCAAGAAAACCAGAAGGAAATCAGACAAAAGGCGGTTCTCGGCCAACGCAGGCACCACACCCAGCGTGTACGCTTCCAAAGTCTTCGTCGGGCACCTGTGTACCGTTCCCAAGTAGGTCGACATATTCTACAACCATGGAATTATAGGTCCCCAAAACGACAATAATTAATAGGGATGGTCTTTCGGGAGCCAATTCCTCAATGGTAGAAGAATGGACCCTTTGGGTTCTATTGCGCCCTTAGAAACAAAATCACTTGGAAGCTTACCATAACAGAGACCAAAATCATTCCTAAGACTACCGAACTGTCATTGTTAACCTCGAACTCTCTGACCCCAAACCCAAACCCTACGCTGGGGAGAATTGAACCCGGTGTTGAAGGATTTCTGGTGTCTCTAGGTTGCAGCTATCTATGGCTTTATGTGGTGCGAAAGATTCGATTGGCCTTCAAAACCCTAAACCCTAAACCGGAAGACTTCTATCGGATCGGACTTCTAGGAAGGCTCTGTCTAGGGCCTGAATCGTGTAATCCTGCACCTTACCAAAGTTTCTACAGAGGGGCTCCCATATCCCCAAAAGCCAAACCCCTCGACACCGGAAAAATATCCCTTCAATACAGCGCCTAGGCAACCTTGAAGACCCCACTTCAACACAAGCCATCGAAACATCGGCGCAAACCCTATTCCCTAAGGGTCCATGTACTCATATAGTATATACATTGGCCTTAATGTAGTCCCCATACTGCTGATGGACAAAATCCTGCATCACCTTAAGGACCCTAAACTATGGGAATTATGGTATATTCCTTATATTGGGTCATGCAGGATTTTGTCCATCAGCAGTATAGGTACTTTGGGGCTCATGTATGTCTATATGGGTACATACCAACGAACCGGAAGGCCCAAACCCCAAGCCCATCCAAGCGCTAAACCCTAAACTCCAAGCCCTATAGTAGAAGCCAGAAAGTTGGAATATCATTATCGTAACCCCTTTAAGGTAAATTATAGGGGATCCTACCATTAATCCATATTCCAACTTTCTGGAGTTCCCTTTAAATCCAAACCGTGCGCCTGATGTCCTGAACCTGGCTCGGTGCAACTAGGGCTTCGCCAGGGAAGCAGAAGTTGAAGAAATTGCTGGCTCATACCAACCCCTACAAGAAACTAAACCGAGAGCCGCAGGCACAAGGGCTGCACGAGCAAGAAGAGCCCCGACAGTTCCACATCCAAGTCCTTTGCATCAGTTGTTGGCGGTTGGAAGCTTGTTCCACTGTAGGTTCTTGAAAGCACATGGGTACTTACATGCGTGTAGCATGTCAGACACGGTTTTGCGTGCCTTAGGCTTAAGACACCTCTTACGGTGTTCATATGAGGCATCATACTGCTGATGGACAAAATTCTGCATGACCCTAAGGACTCGAAGCTATGGGAACTATGGTATATTCCTTATAATGGGTAATGCAGGATTTTGTCCATCAGCAGTACGGCCCTGGCAAAGTGCAAGCGGCATTCCGCGTTTGGGTCTTTAGGCTTTCGAGTTCCTGGCTCTGACACAAAGACTACATGGACCCTGAAAGGCCTATACCTTTTGGGATGATCCATATTATGATTTCCGTATACAGGTCCCTAGTTTTGAAAGGTCCAGGCACGATTTAAAATTTTCGTGTCCTGTGGAACCTTCGTGCATAGGCCTTGCAGTGCAACTTGCATTGCTCAGGATCATGCATCCGAAGCTCCGGCAGACCCAACCGGGACACGGCCTTCCACCCGAGTGTAGCGGCCTTAACAACTAGAATAGGGTTTGGGGCGGTTTGGGGATATGTATTACAATAACTATATAATAATAAGCAACCGCCCAAACCCTATTTTGATTGTTAAGGCCGCTACGGTAACCCCAAACCCTCAACAAACAAAAGCAGGCAAACCAGAACCCTGGAACACCAAATCCTAAAACACTCACCCACAAGCCTTTCTACACTCATCCCTAGCCTGTCTTAAGATTGCATCGCGTAAAACCTCGCACCAACCCTACGGAAACAAAAACAACAACATCAAACCCCGTGAACAACCAAGCCAGCACAAAAGAACGGAGCTATCGACCCTAAACCCTAAACACCCTAAAACCCTAAAGGTGTATGGATGTCGGGTCGAAATTCTGGCAGCGTTTGAATGTGGCCGGCCGCAAGCCATCCTGAGTCCACCTGGGCAATACTTGGAGGGTCATGGGACTGAGTAAGTGGGGGTTTAAGGGTCCCTTTAAGGGATCTACTAGGGGTACTATAAGGGTTTAGGGTTTAGGGTCTACTTGGAGGATCATGGGACCGGGTAAGTCGGGTTATGGGTTTATAATATCAGTAACTATAAGTATAGTTATCTTAGTTATAACCCTAGTTACTAAGTCCCATGACCCTTTAAGTAGTCCAACAGCCGGGGTTTGAAGGACTTTGTCTTCACCAGGACCCTCCTTGTACCCTCAAATAGGGGTATATGGTTCCAAATAATAGGCTTTATGGCTAATAATAGGCATTTATGGTCTAATAGAGGGTAGATGGAGGGTCTAGGTAGGGAGGTTGTGGGATATTGAGCGGTCAGAATTCACAAATACGCTGTGCATCCTACACTGTTTGGGTTATGGTTTAGTGGGTTATGGTTTGCAATTTAGGGGTAGTTGCGGAGGGTTTAGGGCCAGGGTTTAAGGAATACGAAGCCCAGACCGAAATTCAATAGGCAGTGTTCGATGCCAATGTGGCCCCTGACAGGCTCAGACGCGTTATGCTCAAGCCGGAGCCGGAAGCCCAGCAAACTTACCTTGGGTTAGTAGGGAATGGAAGAATGGTAATAGGACTTAGAATTGTACCCCATTCCTCCATTCTCTACTAACCAAAGGTAAGCAAATCCAAAACCAACTCAAACCCCCAACCGAAAGCCCGAAAAGGGTTTAGGGTTTAGGGATCGACTTGTGTGCCTCCGGTTCGTCCTGCAGGGTGGCCCAGCATTCGACGTCCTGAGTAGATATGGGAGTTACTCGGGAAATTGCCAGGTATTGCTCGTGGTTACGACTTCGTAGCAACCTCATCAGCAACAACTTTTATTCAGGCTTTACGGTTAAATCCAACCAAGATTTGGGTTTTCAGGATTTGTGCAAGGTATCCGGAAAACAAGCACGGACGTTGCCATCGAGGGCTCTGTATTGGGAATGTTCTCTGGTACCGCCACTCCAAGGGTAAAAGGAGGGACCCTTAATAAGGACCCGTAGGTATATACCCTTAATATAGCTTTTATATACCCATATTATATCGCCCATTATAGGGTAGGGGTCCCCATTAAGGGTCCCACCTTTTCCCCTTTGAGCCACATGACATGGGAGCTGTTCTGACTTAGGGCCCATCACGCCCATATGGGAGTTTCCAAAAATTAGGGGTACCTTATTTTGGGGTCCTTCTAATCAGGATCCTACTACTTAGGGTACTAGATTAGGGTCCCCTATTTTCGGAAACCCTCATATTGACCTTGAGAACCTGACACGGCTACTATGTAGAGTTTTTCATATATGAAACAGGGCTTTGGTGCATGTTGGAGCATACTTGGCATGAAAGAACCCGAAGGAACCATATCAGCAATTCACCCGACCCGGAAACCTGAAACCTTGAAGGACGGATCCGTTCAAGAATCTGCAACTGGTATTATGGAACCATAGTACCCTTAAAGGGAACCCTGCTATAGAACCATCATACCCTTGAGCTGAACCCTATTATAGAACCATAGTAACCCGTACCGGGACACGATGAGTAATTCCTGCCCAGCAGCATAGCGAGTATCCGGCAGCAGCCCTTCCATCATAACTCCAGAAGGGACCTTGCAGCTTTCGCTACTTGGGGGCTCATGGGACTTACTTGGAGGGTCCGGGGGACTTAGTAAGTAGTTATTTTAGAGACTTATAAGTACCATTGCCCCAATTAAGGTCCCTTATAAGGCACTTATAAGTCTACTTACAACCTACTTACTAAGTCCCCCGACCCTCCAAGTATATAGTAAGTGCAGTTATATGCACCTTTTTTAATTCTCAGAGAAAGATAAGTACATATTTACCTTAATTATTTTAATTCAATACTTACTGAATCCCATAAGCCTATGAGCACCTCATGGAGCATTCTTGGGATGTTTGCAGTTCTACCCAGAGGGTCCAAGTACCCAAATAGTGGGGTTTCAAGGACGAAAAACCATTCAGAGTATGGATTTTGGGATCTAAAACCCTACTATTTGGGTAATTGGACCCTCTGGGCTACAAAATGGCAAGACAGCATTTAAGGGTAATAAAGGCTATGAGTTGAAGGGACTTCTACACCATACCTTGTAGGTAGAATCTGATGGCCCCCTTCACATCTTCATGCGCTAGGATTGCCTCCATAGAACTTGTATGCATGACAAGAAGATAAGCACCACGTCTGAGTAAAGTTCACCCTTATAGTCACAACCATCAGCAACTCAAGATAAACCCTAAACCCTAAACCCTTGCGGAACCCAGAAAGACCGGGATGATAACCCACCCGCTCATCTACTACATCGCCGGGCCGAAAGTTTCGACCCACTTGAGCATCATTTTACATACAAGCTCTTGCGGAGTAGCGGAGTACCTCAAAGTGTCGTTTGCCCTATGCAGGCCAGCGGAGTAATTACTACCCCGTTTTAAAAATATACTACTTATTAGTTCCGGCGGAGGCCCCAAGGCTCCCTTGTGTTAGGAGTCTATGGGGAAGAGGGTGGAGGCCCATGTCTTGTAGCATGTTGAAGCTAGTGGGTCGAACTATCGGCCCGGCGCAGCCTCCATTATCGAGGCAAGAGTCCCCTCCTTTGCAGTCCTGGTGAGCGAAGCCCCCGAACACTTTCACCCTGGTGTTGTTTGGGCTGGACTCTGGCACCCAAAATTGACGCTGCCTCACCGGGACCTTTTCTGTTCAGCAAACCTCGCCAAACTTGTTGCTGTGTGACCTCATGACCTCCTTCAGGTCCCCTTTAGACAGACATCCCCGTCTAAGAAACGATTCAGGAGGCATCGCCGGGCCGAAAGTTTCGACCCACTTGAGCATCATGTTACATACAAGCTCTTGCGGAGTAGCGGAGTACCTCAAAGTGTCGTTTGCCCTACGCGGGCCAGCGGAGTAATTACTACCCCGTTTTAAAAATATACTACTTATTAGTTCCGGCGGAGGCCCCAAGGCTCCCTTGTGTTAGGAGTCTATGGGGAAGAGGGTGGAGGCCCATGTCTTGTAGCATGTTGAAGCTAGTGGGTCGAACTATCGGCCCGGCGCAGCCTCCATTATCGAGGCAAGAGTCCCCTCCTTTGCAGTCCTGGTGAGCGAAGCCCCCGAACACTTTCACCCTGGTGTTGTTTGGGCTGGACTCTGGCACCCAAAATTGACGCTGCCTCACCGGGACCTTTTCTGTTCAGCAAACCTCGCCAAACTTGTTGCTGTGTGACCTCATGACCTCCTTCAGGTCCCCTTTAGACAGACATCCCCGTCTAAGAAACGATTCAGGAGGCATCGCCGGGCCGAAAGTTTCGACCCACTTGAGCATCATGTTACATACAAGCTCTTGCGGAGTAGCGGAGTACCTCAAAGTGTCGTTTGCCCTACGCGGGCCAGCGGAGTAATTACTACCCCGTTTTAAAAATATACTACTTATTAGTTCCGGCGGAGGCCCCAAGGCTCCCTTGTGTTAGGAGTCTATGGGGAAGAGGGTGGAGGCCCATGTCTTGTAGCATGTTGAAGCTAGTGGGTCGAACTATCGGCCCGGCGCAGCCTCCATTATCGAGGCAAGAGTCCCCTCCTTTGCAGTCCTGGTGAGCGAAGCCCCCGAACACTTTCACCCTGGTGTTGTTTGGGCTGGACTCTGGCACCCAAAACTGACGCTGCCTCACCGGGACCTTTTCTGTTCAGCAAACCTCGCCAAACTTGTTGCTGTGTGACCTCATGACCTCCTTCAGGTCCCCTTTAGACAGACATCCCCGTCTAAGAAACGATTCAGGAGGCAGCCTCCATTATCGAGGCAAGAGTCCCCTCCTTTGCAGTCCTGGTGAGCGAAGCCCCCGAACACTTTCACCCTGGTGTTGTTTGGGCTGGACTCTGGCACCCAAAATTGACGCTGCCTCACCGGGACCTTTTCTGTTCAGCAAACCTCGCCAAACTTGTTGCTGTGTGACCTCATGACCTCCTTCAGGTCCCCTTTAGACAGACATCCCCGTCTAAGAAACGATTCAGGAGGCAGCCTCCATTATCGAGGCAAGAGTCCCCTCCTTTGCAGTCCTGGTGAGCGAAGCCCCCGAACACTTTCACGCTGGTGTTGTTTGGGCTGGACTCTGGCACCCAAAATTGACGCTGCCTCACCGGGACCTTTTCTGTTCAGCAAACCTCGCCAAACTTGTTGCTGTGTGACCTCATGACCTCCTTCAGGTCCCCTTTAGACAGACATCCCCGTCTAAGAAACGATTCAGGAGGCAGCCTCCATTATCGAGGCAAGAGTCCCCTCCTTTGCAGTCCTGGTGAGCGAAGCCCCCGAACACTTTCACCGCTGGTGTTGTTTGGGCTGGACTCTGGCACCCAAAACTGACGCTGCCTCACCGGGACCTTTTCTGTTCAGCAAACCTCGCCAAACTTGTTGCTGTGTGACCTCATGACCTCCTTCAGGTCCCCTTTAGACAGACATCCCCGTCTAAGAAACGATTCAGGAGGCATCGCCGGGCCGAAAGTTTCGACCCACTTGAGCATCATTTTACATACAAGCTCTTGCGGAGTAGCGGAGTACCTCAAAGTGTCGTTTGCCCTACGCGGGCCAGCGGAGTAATTACTACCCCGTTTTAAAAATATACTATTTATTAGTTCCGGCGGAGGCCCCAAGGCTCCTATGGGGAAGAGGGTGGAGGCCCATGTCTTGTAGCATGTTGAAGCTAGTGGGTCGAACTATCGGCCCGGCGCAGTAACATGTAGGGTTTATGGAAATGGACTTGGATGTGACCCAGCAGCCACCGCTGCTACACCGCTCTCACCGCTAAGATAGCAGAATCTCCAGCAGCTTTGTGTGGTTGTTGGGGTGCTTTCAGAGATTTCAAAGCGCGGTCTCGGGTTTCACCTGTACTCTACGGAGCAAGCTTCTATCATCAGCTCTAAAACTGCTATACATGAAGATTTGTAGGGCCTTAAACTTACACGAATCAATAGGGACATCATACACCACAGCGAATGTCGTATCTGCCATGGTGATTATCAGCACTTTCCGCCCATGAGCTTTGGACCGTGGCAATTCTAGCCCATTGCTCCCCACGATCTTCTGAAAGCATTGTACTGTGGGCCGAACTATGCTTTCCGACACTTCAGCTTGTGCTGCCGGCACTTGAAATCTCTCGCCGCAAGGCAGGCGAGACCAGTTTCACAGTCACCTCTTCCACATGCGCCATAAGCCTGATCAAATTTCAAACTATGGCTACAACGGACTACACAAAATCGACAAACGTCTGCAAGACCCATAATTTCTCCAGGGTTTAGGGCCGTAGGATATGGTACCAGATGAAGCCCTGTAGTTAAACCCACCATAGACTTCCCTACCTTAACCCCGAATAACCTACCCGTTTTAAGGACTTATATAAAAGAACTCATAATCAGGAACCCTAAAACGGTGGGTTTTTCAGGGTTCAGGTAAAATCTATAAGCCCGTCTAGACAACTCTTGAACCCAGAGCCCTAAGCCGCGGACCGCAAAACCCCAAACCAACGACTGGGCAATCGGCTCCGCGAGAAGCCAACTGCGAAGAGGACTCCAGCGATGCGCCGCTTGCCAGCAGGCGACAGCCTAAAGACTGCGGGTTTAGGGGCTTGGAGGATTAAGTTGCGCGACTTAGGTTTTGTAGAAAGAGGCATCTTTTGAGTATCTTGTAGTACAATCCTACAGGAAGCCTGTGAGTAACTGTGGGCCCATTTTGTCGTTAAGACCCCAAAAGCACCCATCGCAAGGATGTGGGCTTCAATAGTTTATCTTTATGTGCTCTATTGGCCCTAACTCGTCATTTTAGGGGCGCGGGTTGAGGCTTTAGGGCCTTGTTTCCTACAGTTTAGATTTAGGGGTACGCGGACTTGTCACAAGCCCCATAGCACAGGGCCCTGGGTTCAGGAAGAGTGCTGGCGTTCTGCTTCGGAGTTGCAGCCGCCATGCGAAGACTTTGCTTCAATTCTTTGCCCGAAGGCGACTGTCTGTCGAAGAACATCGGACTTTGCAAGCAGGTCGAAGTAGGAGTCGCTTAGTTTGGGTACCAATGGAGCCCCTTGATGACCTGACGACCAAGTCCCATCAAGGCACAAGTCAAACCACAAGCCCTTGACACCCGCAAAAAGAAACCCCTACTTGGAGGATCATGGGACTTAGTAAGTAAGGTTATAAGTACCCCAATTGCGGCTATGAGTAATTAAAAGTATAGTTACCGCAATTATAACCCTAGTTACCAAGTCGTATGACCCTTTGAGTAAGAACACCCGGATCATAAGACTCCGTACATCGAAGCCAAACCCAATGCTTCCGGGGACCTTCTTGTTGGGGCCTTAAGGGGTGCAGGGCCCTAACTCCAAGGTCCTCGGAAGTATAGGGGAACAAACACTAATCATAAAGCCCCTAAACCCTTAAACCCTAAGTCCTAAACCCAAAAAAACCCCTAAACCCCCAAACCCTAAATCCTAAACCCAAAGCCCTAAACCCCTAAACCCAAAGCCCCTGAACCCCTAAACCCAAAGCCCCTAAACCCCAAACCCTAGGAGGTTTAGAAACTTAGCCCTCCGGCCGCCGAGCCCCCGACGGAAGTTAACGCTGGCGCTCCAAGCCACTGAGAAGGAGACGCTCTCGGTCGCCACTGACAGGACCTAGGGTTCAGGGTTCAAGATGCAGGGTTAGCTAGGGCTTTTTTTTTGGAACCCTCTTTTCCTTCTGCCCTGTCAGGTTAGTCGGAATGCCTTGTAGGCTGAGGGGTTGGACCTTGTAACCTCAAGCACAGAAATCCACAATACTCCTTAGTAAGTGTGATCCCAACAAGGTCCTTCACGCCCCACGACTGTACTGGTGTTGGGAGTCATGCTACCAATAGTCCCCATGACTACTAAACTACACAATCCAAGGATTGAAGAAGCAAGCTATCCCTCTCCCGACCATGAGTTCAGGGCGAGGGCACCGCAGCTGACTCAACAGTGCAATGAAATGCACTCTCCACACCGCATCTCCATCTCGGACAGCCGGCGCTCCCGGCTCCGATCTGCATGGCAACCTCAAACACAGGGCCCATTGCTCTAGGTGAACACCAAGCTGGGCGGCTCGGCCTTTCCGGCGCCTTGCGCTACCCGTCCAGGAGGCCCTGCCTGCCCAGGCCTGTGACCTCCGGCCACCGTGGCCGCCTTTTGTGGCAGATTCCTCGGGAAGCTCCTCTTGACTGGCATGTCCCTAGTCCTTCTGGCCGCGCTTGCTGTGGATGGTGGCCCTGCACCTAATGAAGATGGTGGCCCCAACAGCTTCGCGGCGTACTGCATCTTGCTTCAAGTCAAAATCGGGGGGCCGAGCGAACGCTAAGCTAACGCTTGACGCCTTCAGCTAGGGCTTTGGGGTTTAGGGTTTAGGAGTTTATAGGGTTTAGGGTTGAGGGTTAACTGGGGATTAGGGTTTAGGGTTACGAACCCTTTACTCAAGGCTTGCCTGGACCCTAACAAACCTACATTGTTAAGGCTTAGCTCGAACATGCGGTCCAATAAGCTTGTCAAGCATCAGTCGTTGACCATCATACAACTTAAGAGAACAAGCCCTGCGAACCAGACAGATGCCCACATCAAGCTTTAACATGTAATATAGGGGCCTTAATAAAAAGAATAGGGTTCTGGGGCCCATTATACCACAATTGTCATAAGGAGCCCCCAAAATAGTATCGGCAACTATTTAGGCTCCTATAGTAGCTCGGCGGAGGGCCGGTATGGCTTGGGACCTCTAGAACCTTGACCCAGGCTCCGGGAGGTTCTAGAAAGTAGATCCCGTAATTTGGGGCTCTATACTACTAAGGGTACTTTATTTATAGGAACCCTGATTAGGGATCTAAACCCTGAACCCTAAAACCCTATAGACCCCTTAAAGGGACCCTTAAAGGAACCCCTAGGGATCTACTTGTTGGATCCCTTAATGGGGGTCTGGGAAGGCCAGTTGGCTTGGGACCTCTAGAACCTTGAACGAGCTCTGATCTCTCTCTCAGAGGGTCCAAGTCCCCGAATAGTAGGGTTTCAGGTCCCAAACTCCATACTCTGAGTGGTTTTTGGACCTTGGGACCTCACTTGGAGGATCATGGGACTTAGTGAGTAAGGTTTTCAGTACCTTTCTTGGGGTTATAAGTAGCTATAAGGTAGTTACCTTCATTAGAACCCTTATTAGTTACTAAGTCCCATGAGCCTTTAAGTACTGTTTGGGTACTTGGACCCTCAGGATCTCCAGTCTTGAAGCATCAGATGTTGATACAAAGATCGACGAAAGATCCCTGGACCCCATAAATAGAAACCGCATAGAATATGGAACGCTTACAGAGCCCTCCGGACTTTGTTATAAAGCCTCGACATGCTCTAGCATCAAAACGGAATTCCACCAAACAAAACCTAAACACGAATTCCCCTAAAAAACCAAAACCCTAGAGGTCCTGGAGACCTGAACCCTAAACCCTACATCCTAATAAACCTAAAATTCTCAACCACAAACCTGAAACCCTAGGCGGCTCGCCTGAGCGCCTTGAAGGAATTCGGCAGGCGTGGTTTGAAAAGTAAAGCTCCATGCCACCTGACGGTAAAGGTTCAGGGTTAGGGTTTCGGGTTGGACACCGGTTCCAGAAGGAGTTCAATCCTAAACCCATGGGTTCTACAAGCGCTCACAAAGTACAAGCCACCCTACAAGAGTTCTTCTCTAGGCGGCTGAGGCTGCTATGGCTAAGGGTTTAGGGGTTGAGGGATTGATGATTGGCTTGTATTTGCTGTTGCTTGTCCCAAAGGGTCCAAAACTTTTATGGGGGATACTTCTCTAAGTCTGAATAGTAATTCCTAATATGGAAACCCTACATTCTACTATATCGGTACATAGGACCCTTTGGGTGTTGCTCGTCTGGGGGCTTGAGATTCAGAACGTTCGCGGTTTAGAGGTTTCAGACCGCACGGCTTAGGGTTCAGGGTTCAGGGTTCAGGGTTCAGGGTTTAGGGTTTAGGGTTCAGGGTTCAGGGTTTAGGGTGTAGGGTTTAGGGTTCAGGGTTTCGACATAAGGTTTTAAGGAGGGGGTTTGGGTCACGGGATCCGCCATCCTTTGCAACCTCTGACCAGGCAGCTGTGAACTTTATCCCTGGGGCTGAGTAAGCTACTTTGGAGGTTCGTGGGTAGTTATAGATGGGGCTCGAAGTCCCCTGAAAAGGGCTATAACTATAGTTACCTTACTTTACATCCTCACTTATGACTACCCACGAACCTCCAAGTACTAGTAGCCCTCAAAAAAGCTACCCGTTGTAGTTATAGTGGGGCCAAAAAAACAAAACAAGAGAAAGGTTATCTACCCGGCCCCTCATGATGGCTGGGCCGGGGGCTTTGTGAGTGAATACTTCCCTTCCGATACCCTAATACTTCAGGAAGAGACGTTGGAACTGCTAGGTCTGCGAAGGCCCAGCATATATGCTGAAGATAGGTAGAAACACCGGTGCTGAGAAAGCCCAGATCCTCGCCAAGCTGTGGCATATGGGAGTTTCCGAAAATTAGGGGACCCTCCTACAGCAATTACCCTAAATAGTAGGATCCTTATAACAAGGACCCCAAAATCAGGTACCCCTAATATTCGGAAACTCCCATATGATCTTCAGCCCCGATGTACTATGCGAACGCAAGCCCTACGACCCAAACTCTTAGTTAAGCCCCATTCGATTTGTTACCTCCCCACCGATCAGTTGCCCTGTCTGTTAGGTGTAACAGGCGACATGATTTTAGTATGATGCAGGGACCTGATTCATAAACCCTGGCTCTGTAACCCCCAAATATGCGGAACACCACCCCCCCCCCCCCCCCCCCAAAAAAAAAAAAAAAAAACATCAAAAAAACAGTGTTTCTTAGTCACGGTCAGGCTCCTATATGATTCCAAGTCCTGAGGCTGTTCCCATGCTTCTCAACTCCCAAGCTGGCCTCCTCTGAGGGCTTCTCCGGCTTAAGGCCTCGCATCAGCGTGGTTCAGGGCTTCGGCGTTGAGGCTTCGCAGATTTCTAGCCCTCCGAGGTTTTGAGGGGAAACAGCCAACATTCCAATTTTGCGTGGGTGCCAAGTTGAGGAAATTGAAATTGGGCTCAGACTTAACAAGGATAATTACGGAGGCTCGCGTCTCTCGGTGGAGCACCTTGGCTTGCTGCGGTTTAGGCTATAGGGTATGTTCCGCAATGCTCCGGCTCCTCTTCCCGCTTTCCGTTCTTGTCCTTGCTTTGGACGAAACAGCCTGCTGAAGTAAACCCTAAAATAACCTCGATCCGACATGCCACCACCCTCAACAGGGCCTAAACCCGAAATCCCAAAGCCCTAAGCCCTGGACCATCTAAAACCCAAAATCCAATACCTCTAAACACTATAGTTGTAGACATATATTAATTGGGTTCATAACAAGATTGGGGGATCTAGGGCATTCTCGCCCATAGCAGTACCTAGGACCCGTTGGGTTAAACCCCTCGTCCTATAGAAACTCTTGCGGCCCTGTGGCGGGTCACCACTGCACCAGCCGTGAGGGACACGTCGTAGGTGCAGCCCTGTTTAGGGTTCTAAGGCTGTGTAGAGTTTGGGGTTTAGGGCTTTAGGGGCTTTAGGGGGTTCAGGGTGTTCAGGGGGTTTAGGGGGTTTAGGGGGAGGGGTGTCGGGGTTTAGGGCTTGGGGTTCTGCCACTTCTTCTACTACTACTACTACTATCACTACTACTGTGAATGCTGGGGTTCAAGGACTTCTGAGGCCCTAGGCTTACAAAGGGTCCACATGCCCATGTGGAGTTGACTCATATGGGAGGTTGTCAAAATTGGGGTCCCTTATTGGGGTACCCTAAACAATAGGTGCCGTACTATAATAGGGACCCAAAAAAGGGACCAGAATGTTGACAACCACCCATATATCAAGGGTGTTTATGGTTTGCAGGATTGAAATTAAGCTTTGTCGGGTATTTTAATGTAATCATACCTTTTGAACTGTGTGTGCATATCTGTGCTGTAGATATTCGCTCTAGGGTACATAGACTCTTGGGAGAAGGGAGAACTTAGGGTTTGGGTGCAGGACTTAAAGGGTCATGGGCCTTAGTAACTTAAGGGGTTCTTAAAAGGGGTTCCTAAAGGGAACTATAAGGGTTCTAGGCCGGGGGTTTAGGGTTACTTAGAGGGTCATGGGACTTAGAAACTAATAAGGGGTCCAATTAAGGTTACTCTACTTATAACTACTTATAACCCCAATTAAGGTACTTATAACCCGACTAAGTCCCATGATCCTCCAAGGAGGCCAGGGTTGATTCATATAGGAAACCTTCACTTTGCGACCCCTCCGTTACCTGGGGCTGCCTCGTTCAGGGGTAAGGGCGGAGGGTAACCTCATATCTTCCCAGAGACTCTTAGTTAAAGAATATATGCTTCTTTAAACTATGATAGGAACCCAAAGGAGATGAGCGGCAAATTTCTTAAAGGGTTTTGGAAACTCTGGGTTCCCTGCTTTTGAAGCCCTCCGACACCATCTCTTGGACGGTTCTCTGAACTAGGGAATTCCAAAAGAGTCTGGCACCTCTATAAAAAGGACCCCAAATTAAAGGGACACTTGTTTAGAGATAAGCTAACCTCTTATCTATAATCCAAGGTATGTCGGAAATGCCTGGAGGAGATTCTTCCTGAACCCTACAAGGAATACTTTGGGTGGTTTGGCAGCTTGAACGACGTCGGGAAAGGGTTTAGGGCTCAGGGTCTGAATGTGTGGGACGCCCCTCGGTGGTTGAGCTGCTGCTGCATTGCTGCAAGGCACCGATCACTCGATTCGTTGCCTTACATCACTTTCACTGCCGCAGGGCAAGAACCCAAAACCCTAAACCCAAAACCTAATTACTAAACACAAAACCCTGAACCCTAAACCCTGGTCAAGAGCCCTGAACCCTACGTTTGACACGCGGGCGATCTACCGCTTGGGTGTGTTCCCCGAAGGGTCCATGTGCCCAAACAGTTGTCAAAATTAGGATCCTTTTTGGGGTACCCTAGATAATAGGTGCCGTATTATAATAGGGACCCAAAAGGGACCATAATTTTGACAACTACCCATATAGAGATACATGAGCCCCCAAGTACCTATATAGGGACTACATTAAGGCCAATGCATATACTATATGAGCACATGGACCCTTACTGGTTCATTGTTGGGGTAGGATAAAACATGATCATTTTTATTCCATATTGGGATTAGTACCCATGAAAATGTAAAATGTCACCCAACTCCTACCCAGCTTAGGGTTCGTAGTTCGGGCGGTCCCCCCCCCCGTTTTCAACCCGGCGGGCTGAAAACCTCGCGGCCATCCCTCAACTCCGAGACGCTGATGGGAGGCCAAAAAGGGGGGGTTCAAGATTCTTGGGGTGGCGATACCTTAATATGAACCATATTGTGGGGATTCCTTAATATGAACCATATAATGGGAACTCCTTAATATGAACCATATTATGGGAACCCCAATCCCTATCAAAACCCCCATAGGCTAAAACCCCTTTCGGCCTCCTATGAGACACGGGCAGGAGTGGTCCATGGTGCTCCGGGAAACCGGCATAAGCCCAAACCCGTAATCCCAGAGCGCTGAACCCGGAATCTTCACTGTAAGACGCCAAGCAGACAAACAAATATCCTGCATTGAGGCCTAGTTGGAGAGTTAGAACCGAGCACGACAGGGTCGCCTGTTGCCAGAAGCTTGTGCTCAACGGCCATGTTGCAATGCGATGATTACCTTCCATGTCGCTGATGGTGCAAAACCCTGCATGTTTTATGTACAGTACCCTACACTATGGGAGCTATGGTATGTTCTAGTCTATGCAGCAGTTTAGCACTGCAGGCATGAGGGCCGACCCATCGCATATCAGGGAGGCTTCCGATTGCATCTTCAATTTCGACTGCAGGTTTCTAGGTTTAGCGGTAGGACTGAATAACGAATTCTGAAACAGGAATGAAAATCGTAACCAGGCTGCGGGGGAATGCACACAAGACTGATCCGATGAACTCTTAACAGCAAAACCCAACAGATACGCCGTTCCGAAACCATGACAAGAACCCCGATGATAACCAACATGGTCGCTTGGCAACGTGTATGCTACCCTCCCCAACATGTTCGAAGGCTCCCTAGCCCCCCCAAGAACCGGGGTCTGGGCTTTGAGCTTTGTAACCCTAATTATTATGATTGTTCATATTCCTACTCTTGTTTTGTTCCTTCAATTGCTATCATTGCTGCTCTTCATATTGTCAGTTGTGCTCTTCTTATTCCTACTGCTCTTATTATTCTTATTGTTAAAGGTTTGAGATTATTACAGCTATTAATACATATTAGTCTTATTGGTATTGCTGATATTATTCTTGCTGCTTTTGTAAATACAACCTGCTTACCTGATCTTTCGAAGCACTGCTGTTTTCAAGCATGTGAGTTTAGTAGGATGCCTGTCAAGGTTCCTTCAGAGCAGACCCGGGAAAAAACACACGCATCTGGGTTGTAGTTCAGGGGCTCCCAGAAGTATGTATGAAAAGGTACCTCTATGAGAACCACAAGGGAAATTCGAAAATGTCCCAAAGCTCAACCTAAGTATGCTTATCTACGAAATCTGACAACAGTACCTCCTGCATACGGTCGATGCATCGGGTGCAGTGTATGGGCAATGACGCTGTCTGCATACCCTAAACCCTAAACCGTTAACCCTTGAACCGTAAACCCTTAACCCCTAAACCCTAAACCCTTAAACCCTAAACCCTCAAACCCTAACCCTTAAACCCTAAACCCTCGAACCCTAACCCTTAAACCCTAAACCCCACAAGCCCCGGCCCTCGACCTGTCGTCTCTGCCCAGAAATCACGGCGCCCTACATCCTGGAAGCTCCAAGCCCAAAACCCCCAATGGTCCAACGGTTCATGATATAAATCCTGCATTACCCATAATAAGGAATATACCATAATTCCCACAGTTTAGGGTCCTTAAAGTAATGCAGGATTTATATCATCACCAGAAGTACCTAATAATCACATACTCTAGAAATCCTAACCTACATACCTACTATCCTAAAACCGAGTACCTACTTATTTTCTCCTTTGGACCCTTGGGGAAAACACCCACCTGGGGTCTTGAGGGAAGTAACTATGTAAGGAAATCATAGTAAGTAAGGAAGCCTAGGCATGTGCTGTAGGTATCTCAGGGTCCAGGCCCTAAACCTGAATCCTCAAACCCCCCTCCCCCCCAAATGGGAGTTTCCGACAATAGGGGACCCTAATGTCGTACCCTAAAATAGTATTATCCTTATTGCAAGGACCCCAAAATAAGGTACCCCTAATTTTCGGAAACCGCCCCCACATGAAGCGCAGCCGGAGGGCGGATGGAGAATTCCAACTCCGCGGATTCGTTGCCACAGGTCGCGTGACAGGCCTATGACGATGAGAACATCGTAAGTTCAGTTTTGCTCTTGTGTTTTTGGGGATGTAGTGTTGAAGGTCTTCAGTACAAACCGTAATCTTTTTCTCACGGTGTTCGTTGCTTCCAAAGTTTCGATGTCTGGGCTTAGGGATTTACGGCCTGAGCTCTTACGTGAAAGCTCTGTGCGCTCCGCTTCCTGTTAGGGGCCAAGGGTTTAGGGTTTCGGGTTATACTAAGTAAGGATCCGAGGAGCCTACCTACTTACTGGAGGGTCAGGGGACTTAGTAAGTAGTTCATACTGTCGAGTTATAAGAAAAACGTATCATAGCCCCACTTCGGGTCCTGTTCAGGGTACTAATAAGTCCACTTGTTACCTACTTACTAAGTCTCCCGGGTCTGAAAGTGTAGACTCCACTGTAGATCGTTGGTTTGGTTTCACCAACTATATATCCAGGATCCTATAAAGAGAACCGCCCCACAAGGAACTACAATGGAGACTATAGGTATATGGGCAGTTCTAAATTAGCTTCCCTTTCCGGGTCTCAAGTTACCCCGAAAAGGAACAACAATGGAGAGTATACTTAGTAACTCGGGTTATAACTAACGTAACTATACTCAGAATTGTCGATAGCCCTATTTAAGGTACCAGCATCTGTACTCACTGTTGCTAAGTCCCATGAACCTCCAAGTAAGGTAGGTTGCCAAGGGATTCGTCGGATTCATCGGGGCTTGGTTGAAGGCGTCAGGGCTTTCGGGTTGCACTGTTTAGGGGTTGGTGGGTGTAGGGTTCAGGGCGAGTTCATAGGGTCTGGGATCGATACTTGGAGGTTCATGGGACTTGATTTCGATTCTCTAAGGGTCCAAGTAGTCCGCAATTATGGCTTTTGATTCCTAAGAAGGGCCTAAGGTCCTATAATAGGGAGTACTTGGACCCTCTGGGGATTGGGGTTTATTGGTAATTATCGGTACAGATATCTTCTTTCAAACCCTCGTCACTAAGTCCCATGAGCCTTTAAGTAGGGTGCTGGGGCTTAGGGTCAAGGCCTTAGTGTTTTGGAACTAGGATTCAGGCCTCAAATTAGTCCGAAACTGCAGGTGCATGACGACTTCTCTTACTTCCCAGCCCCCCTTCAGGATCTATAAGTAAATCCTCCTAATTTGAGACCGAAGCGTTACTTCATGGGAACATGTGCAAACCCTTCTACGCGGTCTACTTGTTGCATCCCTCCTCTGGGCTCTGTTGTGGTCTAGGTCTTAGGTACTTAAAGGATCATGGGACTTGGTAACTAGGGTTATAAGTAAGGTAACTATCCTTATAATTACTTATATATAACCCCAATCAAGGTACTTATAACCCTACTTGCTGAGTCCCATGATGCTCCAAGTAGACCCTAATAAATCCTACAAGCCGTATAGAGACCTTTAAGGAGCCCTACAATTAGATCCCTTTAAGGAGCCCTTACTTACTAAGTCCCATGCTCCTCCAGGTAGACCCTAAACCCTAAACCCTTATAGTACCCCTAGTAGATCCCTTAAAGGGACCCTTAACCCCTTACTTACTAAGTCCCATGATCCTCCAGGTAGCTGGCCTCTGAACTCCTGGAGCAGACGGACCACGATGGATGCACCGCAGCGCCCCCTGCTTGGGTGGAGAGTTTAAGGATGATAAGACCTTTTTGCGCCTTTGGGCTTAGGGCCTAGGGCTTTTTGGGTTCAGGGTTTAGGGTTTTGGGTTTTATGGTTTAGGGCTTTTTGGCTATTAGGGTTTGGGGTTTTATGGTTTAGGGGTTTTCGGTTAGGGTAGGATGGAGGGTTGCAGGTTTAGGCGTTGACAGATTGGGGTGTGAGGCCTCGAGCTGACTGGCATTGCCGATTTAAAGGCTACCTGAGCCCTGGAGAACCTACCTTTTTAGGGTTCCCTATTATGATTTCCTTATATGAGTCCTTAAAAAGGTAGGTTCTTCAGGGTTAAGCTACACGGGCTCACGAAAAATGGCCTTCATGATTAGGGTTTAGGGTTTACCTTAACCTACCAACCCTACTTTTTTGTAGGTTCTTATTATGAACCCTAATATGGAGTTTATAGGGACCCCACAAAAAAGTAGGGTTTGGTAGGTTAAGGTAGGGTTTATGGTTCAGGGTTTTTTGATTTAGGGTTTAGGGGGCTCGCGAGAGAGAGGCCTTCATGATTAGTGGGGGGGTGTGCCTTGGGGTCGAAGCTGGTTGGATCAAGTCTGGGGGTTTAGGGCACAATTCTCAAGCTAAACCCCTAACATACCCTATACTCAGCTTGTACCCCCCTTGAACCATAACAGAAACAGTCGTTTTAATATTCTCTTGGGCTTTATGTTATATGAGCAACCAGTACCAGAGGGTCCAAGTACTCAAATAGGAGGGCTTTAGGTCTTAAAAACCATTCAGAGTATGGATTTTGGCATCTAAAACCCTACTATTTGGGTACTTGGACCCTCTGGGCTGTAGGGTCCCTAAACTCCATCTTAGGGTTCAAAATAAGAACCTACAAAAAGTAGGGCTTGGTAGGTTACGGTAGTTCCTAAGGAGACTATCGGAGCACCTAAGAGTAACCCATGAATAAAATGGGTGCCCTTTTGGGTTTAAAAGGGTGTTATAAGGGAACCTAAACCCTAAAAAAGGGACTAAGGGCCTACTCTGGGTCCTAGGCTTCAGGAGCTACGGATGGCAGCGAAGTCCAAAGCCCAAAGCCCTGAAATCCCCTCCTTTAGGACGTGCTTGGAAGATGCAGCTAAGTCGTTTGCAAAGGGTTTAGGTAGCTAGGATACCCAGTAACCTAAGAACAAAAAGGCCTCTCTTTTTGGTATTGGGTAACTTTATAAGGAACCTAGGACTACAAAAGGGAATAGGGGTACTACTGGGGTTTCGGGGTTTAGGGTTTTCCAAGAGCTCAACATCAGATCTCATGGGGCGCAACATGCTGCGTGCACGCAGGCATGAAGGTACGGGGTGATGTGCTACTGAACTGCCAATGCTACTGCACCTTGAGCACGTCAGTCTTGGGGGAAGTGTGGAAGCCTGAATAATTGGAATGGTGTGCTGGGGTGTCTAGAGTCTCAATATCTCTAATATGTTAATCAGCCCGGTGTAGTATTACCGACTATTCAGGCACATGCCCGCATACTAGCTCGGAAGAGCCGTGACACTGTGCGTGCGGTTCAGGGCAGCTGTACGGCAACAGAAGCACTGAAACTTCCAAGCTTTTCCGCTGCAGACAAGCTGTACAAACTGTACACAACTAACGGAGCAGTGGCCACAGGCTTGCAGGCGAATGCAAGAATCCCGCGGAGTCAAACGGGAGCTGCAGAAATTGGGGACTCTAACATAAACCAAAGTCCGCTCTTACAGATTGCTAAAACTGTGAAGCCCTGCCGAGAAAACCAACAAACCCCTTGGAAAGACACAAAGAAATTCAACGCACTTGGAAAACTCATCCCACCTTATCGGTGTCTCGGAGCGCGGAAGGGGAGGATTAGCTGATTAAACTCATGCTTTGATGTTGATCCATCCTGCGACGCCGACCCGGAGCTCCATTGTGTACGATGTGTATCCTAGGCAGCATGCTGTCAGATAACGCCATATAGATGAGAACAACCCAACTATACAGCGGTATAGAACGATGCGTTGGAGCAGAACTCATCATCAAAGGAACATGGGATGATGCATGATGATATGCCGTGATACAATATGGTACATCGCGATAATACACATATACATATATATATATATATATATGTGCGCATACATATGTACACACACATACATACGTAATCCGAACCATAAATGTGTTGAGCTTATTATAAAAGCTGGTATGACACAATGTAGCATGATGCGCATAAACAATATAGCGTTGGTGTATTTACAGAGTGAATAAGCCGAGGGTGTATTAATATGTACGTCTGTATGTACATGCGTGTATGCGTACTACATTGTACTACTGTATATGCGTGCGTAAAGAAGTAGACACAGAGAAAGAGAGAGAGAGAGAGAGAGAGACACAGAGAGAGAGGGCCCAGGGAGGGAGTGGGAGGGCGAAAAAGAGAGATAGAGACAACACAACTGCAGCAAAGCAAAATCTTCAGAGTGCAAACATAGTAGAACCGTCACTCAGTCCCTCACTTCTCAGCATCCCAAAAACTGCCATCACGCCGCGCGAGCGCCGCTTTAAGCCGCGAGGTGGCGCTGGCATCGACCGCATTCTGAGCACAGGCTGGTCTCGGGGATAGTTAGTTGAGTTGGAGGGTAAGGGAAGGAATCCGTCCAAACGAAATGTTTCAGATCTTACACAACTGGGGCTCATGCCTTTCGAGGCTTTCAGGTCCCGAGTCCTGATGCTAGACCATGTTCTTCAAATTGGCTAGATCCTACGATATTGTTGCTTTGCGGTGCAGCAGCATGCCGCCCTGGCACAGAATAGAAGCAGAAGCCCGAACCCCTTACGTCGAGAGCCCAGTAAGGCACACGAACACATCCTCAACCATTTCAGGGATGTTCTCAACGCTTTAGACAACAACACTGAACAGCAGGGTTTTGTATGAACTCAAAGCACACGTCGCAAAATGACACTCTCAAAAAGATATAATGTTTTTTCAATGTTATTCAGGGCACCAATGCCTAGTCGTGAGCTGTGCAAGGCGTACGGCGCAGGAGCTGGCATGTGCAAAGGCTTTGCCACACATACATGCATACATACGTACATACAAGCATGCGTGCTCGCATACATGCTGTTTAAGTAGAGAAGCACCAGGCGCCAGGAGATGATCATATGCATTTAGCAGTTAGCGGAGAGTAAGCAAAGGAGGTGCTTCACAGAACACGCCATAGCTTGCAGAATTGCATGCATAGACAGGGATTGGGGTGGTTTCTGGAACACGCACATGCTCTTCGAAGACATGCAAAGAAGGTGTAACTGCTGCAACCGCAGATGGGCCTTGCAAACTTAGGCATAATGTAGTCCCCATTTCAAAGCGTGACCTAGGGAACCCACATCCAGCACACTGTCTTACTGGGCTCTGTTTACTAAGAATAACAACAGTGACAATGAGAATAACCATAATGACAACAGTTCGACTAATCATAAGAGTAGTACAACAATGATGATGTTAAAAAACCTAAGACGAATCATAACTTTAATGGTGATACAAGTGAATAACAACTACTAATGAGCAACTGTAATTTTGTGCGTACACATGTCGCATTAGCGGAGCGCACATAAACATTTCGCCGGAGTGCTGGATGGCGTGAGAGCTCCCTGAACCCGAACCCTCTACCGACAAAAACTATAAGGCCGCCGATACACCACAAAAGAATCTATAAGTCCCAACAGCCGAAACCCTCAACCCCAATTTGACCATAAAGGCCCTAAGCGCTAAACCCTAACAACTTTACCAGGTGCCGATTTCAACAGTCCCCAAAGTTATTTCAAGTTAGATCTCCATATTAAGCAATAAGGGAAATGATGAACATCATCCCCAATCGCTATCTAGTTTAATGCTTCATACAGGGGCCTTAAGAATTTGAATAGGGCTTGGGGGTTTCTGATAGTATAATTCATATAAGGAGCCACCAAGGTAGCTTAGGTAATTTTGTTGAGGCCCCTATATTACAAGATAAGCCTCCGGCCGGCCTTGGTGGCAATCAAAGGCAGGACCTCCGCTGGAATGCTCTTTCCAAGGTCAGCCTGTTGCAAGCATACGCAGAAGCATTTATGTGATGTAGGGGCACTGTAATTAGAATAGGGTTTTGCGAGTTCCTCATTGGAATTCTGGAAAAATACACCCCCCCCAAAAAAAAAAATCTAATTGTGAAGGCCCCTATATTGGAGCTTGGCCCTTTAGGTTTCGACGGTTGAGGCACGAGATTTGGGGTTTTGAAGCCGTTCAGGCAATACAAATCGTACACGAAAGTTGGAGAAGTGTTGCATGTTGTACTTATCTTCTTTAGGCTAGGTTGGGGTTTTCGGGCTGTGGATGTCAGGCTCTGAGTTTGCCGTTGAGTTCGGGGTTTACAGGCACAGGTAATTAAAGTTTTTTGAATTCGGCGTTTCAGATTTAGGAGGTTCAGGATCGCTTCCTCAGAACAGGTTTGAAGAACCGGAGAAGACAAGCGCAACAATTATCTGCATCTTCCCAAGCTGCAAATCCTAAACCTAAACCCGAGTTAGTCCGCCAAACCCCCAAACCCACACAGAACATCTCATATGTCTTGCATCTGTATATGTCTACATATGCAACAAGAAGATAACAAACGAATCTTCAACAACTAATGCAGCAACATCTCCAGAATACCAATAACGACAACAAACGAGTGCAATGAGGAGCAACATCAGCCCTTATAACCAGATTCAAAAAACTTTGCAGCCCGACAGTGACAGTCAAAAAAAACTGATCCATAAACGCCTGCATCCAAAAAACAGAAACCACATGCTCATCATGCAGCTTGTGTGCCGGTTGCCCAAACGCCCGACGAAACACCAACCTCCACCCTGCCTGAAGCCAACAACAGATCCTCACAACCCGAACCTGAAGCACTGGCTAACCATTCTAACCTTAAGCCATACACTAAACACTGGGCGGAACCCCTGAACCCCGAACCCTCAACCATGAA